CGCTGATCCTACTTACCATGCCAGCAGCCAGAAGTATTGGTAAGACTTATGAGATTCGCACCGGTAGTTATAAAACCCCAGTCCCACCCTCCGCGACGTGGACGCTCTAATTATGGAGGGCATTAAATCGAATTAGGAAGTAAAACTAATGATTTAAATATTCTCGACGCTTAAACTTTGTGACAAAGAGTAAATTAAGTGTTACAATTGTAGCAGTATTCTAGGAAATTATGCAAAAGAATGTAAAAAGTCTAAACAGAAAGAAAAGTATAAAAGAACCATTAATGAAGTCACTGAAGGACTTAGAGATTTATTGAATAAAGAAAATTCGGTAGACAGCTTTTTGAACAAAATTCCAGTTGTATTCGATACGGGAGCAAAATATAATTTGATTAGTAATTCTGGTGTTATTAAACCTAAACTTAATACACATAAGAAGGCAAAAACAATGAAATTTTGGACTTGCCTAGAAGAACCGTTTGAGATAAAAAAGTACACGTTTATGTAATTCAAATTTAATGGAAATCCATGTGATTAAAGTTTTATATACTACCAAAAATTCGAACAGAAAAAAAATTATTTGGCAGAGAGGCCTTAATTAGACTAAATAGCGCAAAAAAATCATGCTCTGTATGTGAGATCAAAACGCCAGAAGGATCTAGAGTGGTTGAAAAAATCTATAATTTTTCCAAGAAATTGGAATCTGGTATAGAAAAAGTAATTCAAGGTTCACTGGAAAAGAATATATATAAAATTCAAAATCGACATGGGTAAGCAACCCCAGACCCGTAGTAAAACCGGATGGAACAGTAAGAGCTACAACTAATTTAATGACTTTAAGTAAATTAATAGAACAGGATAAATATTTGCTGCCAAGAATATATGAAATTTTGTGTAATTTAAGAGATATGACAATATTTTCAAAATTAGATCTTAAAGATGGATTTTTTAGATTCCATTGGCACCAGAGGATAGATATAAAAAACATTTAGATACAAACATAAACTATATGAGTGAAAGTTAATGCCACAAAGCTTTAGGAATGCCCCGGCAATTTTCCAACAAAAAATGGATAATGTTTTAAGAGATGAAATTGGAAGAAGTTGTTTCTGGTACGCAGATGATATTTTAATATTTTGCAAAACTGCAAAGGAGCATGGTAAGGCATATGAAAGAATTCGAAAATTGCTACAAGAGAATGGGTTAAAAATAAATGAAGAAAAGTGTGTATTTAAATAGTCCGAAGTCATATTTTTGTGATATAAAATAAAACGCAACAACATTATTCCGCTAGTAGATAAGATGCAAGCTATTTTTGACTTAAAACCCCCAAAGACAAAAAACAATTTCAGGAATTTTTAAGCACCATAAACTACAATTGAAAATTGCCAGTGGTATGTATGTTTACCATTGTATGAATTATAAAAAATAGAAAAGAATTTAAATGGACAGCTGAAGAACAAAAGGCCTTTCGGGCAGTAAAAAGCATTTTACTAATACCGTAGATCTATTACAGCCAGATTGGACAAAAGGAGTTACGTTAGACGCCTACGGATCTAATGAAGAACCTGCCGAAATATTCGCACAAAATTTTAAGAAAGATAATAAATCAACTGCTTTTGATTCAAAAAAGTTATTAGATCATGAGTTAAAGTATAGTATTGGCGAAAAGGAACGCCTTTTCATGCTTTAAGTAATAAATACACTTTAAATATTTTTTATACGGGATAGATTTTGAAATAGTTACAGATTATAAATCACTAAATAAGGGAGATATAAAATCGTTAAAAATTAAAGATGGTTAGATCAAATGTCTCTTTTTGACTTTAGAATTAGGTATAAACAAGGACGAGAGATTCCGCATGTAGATTGCTAAAGTAATAATTTGGGTAATTAAAAGACGAAATGGGCTTGGAAGTGTGTAAAGAATTGGTGAACCAATGTTTAGAAAAAGAAGATTGACAAAAAATGTATCACATTATTTATGATTTTCACGAGAAATTTATTCATCGTGAAATACAGTCAGTAAAGTATGAAATGAACAGAAAAGGCATTGACACTAGAGAATCCAAATACTAATCAAGAAGATTATAAATGACTGTAAAACATGCAACGAATATAATTCAAAAAGAACTAAACAATGTATATTTGTTACTACTTGTGAAAAAGGTGAAAAGGTTGCAATAAATATAGTTGGCCTTATAAATAATCAATATGTTATAACTGGGATTGATTATTTTACGAGAAAAGAATTCGCAAAAATTATAAAAACGAGGAAAGATGAAAATGTTATTTAATTTCTGAAAGAATTAACACAGAATATTCCATGTAAAAACATTTATCTTAGATCAATCACAAAAAAATCTTAGTAAAAAAGTAAAAGAATATTGCCAAGAAAGTAAGAAAGAATTGCAGTACATTACGTCTTTTCATATCAATCAAATGAACGTGTAGAACGATTCAACAGAACTTTAAAAGATTTAGTATACAAAAACAATAAGGAGCACTTACTTACAGAAAAGGTTAACAAAGGAGTAAAAGTATATAATAATAGCTAGTATTCGGCTGTAAAAACGATGCCAAACGAGACTTATAAGCTCCAGGATGTGAGTGCGTTAAAAAACAAACAAATTAAGATCAAGGTAACCTATAACAGAAAAGGCAAAATCGAAAGAACAGAAATTATACAAAGATGACATGGTAGGCGACATTTTACGGCGGCTGAAGAAAAAGTATAATACAACAATCTTTAATAAAGTCAGTAGTGTATTAAAACGCTTTCTTTAATCAATGCTATATTCCCATACAAACTGTACTAAATATTCTGCATCTTGTTCTTGTGAAATACCATTTTCCTTACGCAAATAGAATTTGGAACGAGACCAGAGGCCTTCAATGTTTTGAGTATGAATTTCTGGAGAATCAGGATCCACAAAATTTATAGAATGATTGATGGTATAATGATTTTGAACTATTCCATCACCTGCTCGATGATTTCTTATTGTAGTGCAGCACCATAAGCCCTCCATTCATCTGTAATTATATTAATTACTAGTAAGAACTCTTCATATATTATTTAAGCCAGGGTAGCCGCATTTCTATTTTCAACAGGAAGCATAAAACACTTTTTAGAACCATCCTCAGCCCCCCCTACAAACCATTGACCATCTCTAAGCCTATCACAGTTATATTTTTGTTTAAAAAATAGACTTTCATTTATTTCTACAACTCGTGGAATACCATTTTTATCAAGGCCTCCAAGTTTAACACTACTTTTAACCAAATTCTGCGATTGTCTCACGATCGAAATCTGAAATACTGCTAACTTTTTTCTACAATAGTTTGACTTATAGGCAGTATCAATAAATGAAATCCCACTCATATATTTGTACATTATTTTAAAATAGTACTCATACTAAGTTTATATTTCAAAAAAAACTATATGTTCGTAAAGAACATGGTATCTACATAGGCGCCTACAACTCCAATAGTAGCCTTTTGGAACACCACTTCGTTTAACGTAAGACATTTTCTGGCTTTCCTCACATTTTATACATAATATACGGTTTGCTAACAACCCTAATCTACTTGGCATCACGTTTTCAGATAGATTATCTACAAACATTCTATAAACAAACTTTTAGATGTTCTTTAATTCTAAGATCTGGGCGATATTTATTAATTGTGTTTTATTAATAATATAATTTATAAATCTTCTCTTCATTAAGGGATAAAAAATAAAAAAAAAATTATCAAAGCTGTCGTAAATGGCCCACCTACCGGAGACATAGTAATAATTAAAGAAGAAGAATTATTCAAAAGAAATGGTCTTAAATTTAGAGTAAGAGGTCGGAGGACTTTGCTCCTAATAGTTGATGGAATTTTGACTACCCTAAAATTTAAAATTTTAACCCTTATTTTTTAAATTGTACGAAATAGGATAAACTGTTTAATTTATGAAAATTTATTTAAATTGTTTTTTTATTATATTTTTAGTTGTTTAAACTTATGGTATAAATTTCCACATGGACTAATGAATGGCAACGTTTCGGTGGTGTACTAATATGTTTACTATAACTAAGATATTATTGTTCTTTAATCCAAACATATCATTAAAACTCGTCTTATTGGTTATTAAAACTTTATAAAAAAATATTTAAATAAAATATGTTTAGTTCAAATAATCCTTCTTTCAACAGTCCAGGTGGTTCGGAATACAAAACCCGTAACCGTAACGGGACTTACAAACAAGCAAAACTTTTAGCTACAAGAGCTTGCTTACAGGAGCATGCTACGTAGAGAACTAACCGAATTCTAAACGCCTATTTCCCTGTATTGCCACAAAATTAAAAATATAATTAAAAAGCAATTGTAATTAATTTTCCTGTTTTTTTACTCTAGATAGTTTTAAATTTTCTAAATTTGTTTTTATACAAGAAAAAAGAAGTTATGTGAAAATTAATTATAAATATTTCTTTGTTGTAACCTCTGGTAAGATGTTCAAACTTTAAGTGTTGTTCTATATAAGAATAGAAAAATAATCTTTTATTATTTAATATTTGATTATTAGCTTTAAAAGGCATCTTTGTGCCATAAATATCGTCGTTGTGTCTTTTGTTGTACTGAGCTTTTTCGTGTTTCATTTCTTATTTTGGCGCTACTCCATCTTTCCACCCCCTCCGAAAAACTACGTACAGGATTTTTTAAAGTGAACGTAGTTATTAGTAGGGGGTGGAAAGATGGAGTAAAGGTAAAAAAAGAATTATTTTTTAACCCTTATTATGGAAAATCTAAAAGAGAAAATCATAAATTTTACGATGATATACTATTAGAGAACTCTAAGACTCTAGATTTTTTTTTAAATACAATCTAATAAATAATGAAGTAATTTGTTTGAGGTGTGATGGAAGAATTAGGATTATGGTGCTACCACGTGTATAGGCGGGTATGCTTACAGATGCTCTTCTAAGGCATGCAGATCAAAGGCAAGACTAAAGAAGGGATTTAAATTGGGCTCTTCGAATATAGAATTTGTAAAAATTCTTAGAGGAATGTATTGCTGGGTATGTGATTATGCCCCAGCACAGGCCATTGATTTCTGCAATTGTTAAGAGACTACCTGTATTAAAATCAAAGATTTGATTTTGCGAATAATTTCTGAACAAGAACCAGAAATGGTTAAAATATGTGGAGAAGGTATTTGGGTTCAGTTTGACGAAACTGCTATCTGCAATAGAAAGCTAATACCCGACCCATATAGTACTCTAGACATAAAATCTAATGCACAATGGTTAGCAGAGGATGTTGAAGAGGGAAGTTATAGGAACTTTGTTCTAAAGCTTGTTTCCAGCAGTAAAGTTCCGACTACATTAGACATGTTCGATGAACATGTTGTACCCAGATCTATCATTGTTATTGATGGTTATCCATCTTGCCCCGGCGTCATTGCTAAATTTGGATCTTGCCATAAAATGAAATAACTCTGTTGAGTTTGTTAATGCTTAAGGAGCACATACGAACAAAATTGAAAGCTCGTGGTTTCATCTTAAGCATGTTTATTGAAAACGTAGTGTTATTATATTAATAGAAAGAGAATTAACTTTTTTTTAAATGAATAAAAGTGGAAAAAAAAATATCTAAAGTAGCGATAACAAGACGCTCGAGATGACCTTTTATAAATTAATTAAAATGTTTAGATACCAATTCCTTTTAACTAATAATCTTTTAAATAAATATTTTAATTTTCTGCAATAATGAGGAGAGGAGTGAAAATATGAAGTAGCGCCCTTATTTTTATATATCTCTTCTTTTTTTATTTTTTATTTACAACAAAATTTATTAAAAATTTTGGAAGGAAATTTTTTAGAAAATGTGGTGTATACCACGTTCTTTTATTTCGTATAGTATAAATTTAGAAAAATTCCGATAATTTAAACAAAAATAAAGGGAAGTAACTTTACTAGAAAAAAATATTTTTGTAAACAGAATATGTGTTACTGTAAATTCAATTTGTGTAAACAATCATGTTATCTATATATAAAAATATATTCGTTTACATTTAATGCATTTCCGATATGTTTGGCCCTTTTTTAATTCTTTTTCTTCGCAGATTTGAAAAACTAAAAATTAAAAATTCAAGGGTAGTCAAAAAACTCTGTCAATAAGTGCATATACCTCTCTTCTAACTTTAAAGATGTCATTACTTAATTATCACATTTTTATATGTTTTTTTTTCCAACTGTTTATTTAACCTGATTATATTTACCATCTTCCATATTCATTGGTTTTAAAATATATTGTACCTAAAAAGTTACTAATTAATTTATAAAGTGATGTCTAAATATTAGTAACGCTAACCAATCCAACTTTAAACAAAAAATTTAATAATTAACAATGTTAGGTTTTTAAAGCTCTTAAATTCTATATTTTATTATAACTATCAAAATATCGATATTAGAGTATAAAAAGCCGTATCCTATAAATAAAAAACAAATTTGATCGCATATACATCTATGTAGTTTAAATATTTAATTTTTTTTATTTATTTTTTTAAACAATTATTTTGTAAATTTTTCAAAAATAATTCGCAAGTTGAATTTTCAAAATAAATTGCAAATTTAAATTTTTACTAAATAAATTGCAAATCACATTTAAAAAATAATGCTTCTAAAAATATAGAAATTGAAAGAAAATGTTAGACTTTTAATTGATCTTTTTATAACAGGACAGCGTGGAGACCCACTTATTGGATAAAATTTTATTTTTTGCCCTCTAACTAAATGAAAGATCAGATTCTTGGATAAGAACTTTTTATTGATTGGGAAAAAGAACAGTTTGGTGAATGCTTGCTTTTCGTTAAT